GAGCGAATCGCCCTGCAGGGCGACATGGGAATTTCATCATGCATGGTCATCATCCTGGGTTTATGGGCTGTATCTTAGGCTCATCGTAACTTGGTTAAGTGTGTTTAGCTAACTTCTTCAACTACAATTCGTTAAATGCAGTTAGGTCACTTGCTATATCAAATTAGCCATCCCCACTGAAGTATACAATCGGTTACTAATATATGTATCTGCTTAGTAACCCGCTGCCCTGAGAAGTATTTTTTCTTTCCTCGCAAGGCCACACTCAACAACCCTGCTCGGCGGCACCTCGCAAGGAGGCAGGCGCGCGCTCACTAGCCCCAGCCGGCTCCTGGCGAGGCGCGCCCAACGTGGCGTATAGGCTGCTGGCGCACCGTAGGCGCGACCTGTCTTCTGGCCGCCTTGCGATGGGGGCTCGACTCCGCCCGAGCGGCGATGCCCGCGGTCGCTCAGTTGCCGCAGGCCTGCCGCGAGGCTGCCGTGCACGCCGCACTGACCTGTGTTGTCGGCGCGCCGCGCTACTTCCCGCCCGGGTGGGGGCCTTGTTGTGTGCTGGGGATGGCTGTGCTTGGGGGTGCTGCTCGGGGCGTTTTTGGTTGCGCTGCTGTGGGGCCGTTCTCGGGCACGCTCGGCGCGGGCCTGCGTGGATGGAGGCTGCGTCCGAGCTCCTCGCATGCGTGGCGGCCGGTGGCGAGCGGGAACTGGCCGACCTCGCGGTATCGCTCGGGCAATCCCCTACCGACCTTTTGCGTGCCCTTCTTCAGCAAGCCACGGAGTCACACACGCCCCCGGGCCCCCCTAGGCCGTGCGCGCCCGCTCCCGGCAGTTGGCACGCACGCCGCCATGCGCACAACCCCTTCTCAGGGCCCGCAGCACCGGCGACCCCCGCTGGCGCGCGGACCCCAGAAGTCTCTCAGAACGGCCGACTGACACACTCGCTGCGCTGTGACGCTTGTGACTGCCGCGCTTTTGCTTCGGTGCAGTCACCTGCCCCCTCCTGCCTGCGGGGGAGCAAAGCCAAACTACTACTACGGACTTGAGGGT